TGTTAATATAACTTTCACATGAGTTGCTAATTATATATATTATATACAAATAGGCATGTCATATACCGCATTGTTTCCTGGATAAGAACTAAGTGAAGTAATGAGTCAGTAACAGCGATTACACTCAGTCTTTTGGGCGATTCAAAGACATGACACACGGAAAAGAGTGAACAGTCATTCGAAAAATAAACATTTAAAATGTATAAAAAAATGTGTGAGAATTACCTACTTTCATTTAAATTCTGTTTCGCACAACACGAAAACTTCCTTATCGTCTTTATCCAAAGATATCAAGACTCTTATGTATAGTATTCATGTAAAGGTGCAGTATGTACTTGTCGTAGTTGAACATCTTAAACGTAACCAAGATAAAAGACATATAAGACTTGAAAATCACCTCTCAGAATAATATGAACCAGATGTAAATGGAAAGGCATAACGTACATATAGTACTTTAAAGATATCATAACCAATGTATGGTCACTAGCTTTCTGTAGACATGTAGTCAGTTTATCAAACATAAAGAAGAAATGAAAGCTTTGGGAAGACACTAGAGCAACAGGTCTTCAATTTTTACAAAATTATTATGTGCTGTTCTTTAAAAATGGAGCCCATGATATACCAGGGGAAATACAAAATCGTTATAGAAGGAAACAATAAATTGTTGTTGTTCTTCTTGATATTTGTTGTAAGGTCTTAATATAAGGACTGTATTTTATATATTTTCCTCCGTGATTAAGTGTTTTTGCCTTGAAGCAAAGGACCACGAAATTTTTAGACAGATGCCATAGTCAAATTAATGCTCACATATAAATGAAAAGAGATGTTTTGTACGCATCAATGAGGCCTAAAACAATCTATACATGTCGAGGCTTTTTAATGTTGTGTTTGGGACCATACGGTATGGGTTTTTCTCATTGTTGAAGGCCGTACGGTTGCCTATAATTGCTTACATCCACTTCATTTGAACTTTGGTGGATAGTTGTCTCATTGGCAATCATACCATATCTCCTCATTTTTATATAAAATAAATAAAAACAACTAAGCTATAGTACTCGTAGTTGTTACTGAAAGCCAGTGCAAAGTCAATTGCTTCTGGACTTATAAATAAATCTTGCTTTCTCACACTAAAATATCCAGTACACATCCAACGGATATATCGAAAAGACTTCATAAACAGTCTGACAATAGCATGACCTCGTTCTACAATTTATTAATCAAAACAAAGTCAATGTTAGTACACTGAGATAAAGAAAATATTCATAGCGAACGAGCTTGGAAAATACACAAAGTAAGAAGGGCCAAAAACATCATCGTCCACAAAAAGGAAAATTAACAATATGGAACGAAAAATCGTCTCTTTTGTTGTATTTTTTTTTTTGTATAGAGTTTCCATTGTATAACTGAAATATCAAAATCTAGAAAAGGACAGTGATTTCTTTTTATGTTAGATGCATTAAAAGTTAGCTCCCTTGAGTAAAGAATGCTTTTCAAGTGACACTTTTATTAATAAGAAGAATTCTGTTTGATACGATGGTATAAAAGTGTAGTGTAGAGAGTCAAAAGGTCATAACTGTCCACCGAATGGAAAGTGTCAGCACGTAATTTATCTAAAACATCCAAAGAGATTTTTAAACTTAAAAAATATTTAATTTCAATATTTACATAATTATATTTTATTACAAAAGTTAACGATAAGATCTATGATATTATTGCAGTAAGGAAACTAGAAACCGAGATGAAACGATATTTGGCGGATTTTGTTTGGTATTTAGATATTTTATGGGTGTAGCCAATACATACATAGAGTAGGGGTCTTAGTTGTTCAGATGAGGCATTAAGCTGAGATCCCTGAGGGCTTCAACAACCCGGTAGCTCAGTATAATTAAGTTGGTACTGGCGTGAAAATACGGATATTGTTTTGTTGAAAGGAGTAAGACCGATTTCCCCTGAATTTATTTCATACCAGGGAAATTTTCAAAAGAGTCTGTCAATCTCTAGTTGAATTCATAGTTTCACGGCCTATGTGTGTATTTAAATCACAAAATAATGATTTGCATGAACTAGAACAAAAGTATAGTGAAAATGTTTGCCTAAAATTTTATAAGTATATAATGGGAGTTCATAGTAAATCAACACATTTAGCAGTTTACGGGGAACTTCGTCGTACACCACTACATATTGATATTATTGTTCAGTTATTAAATTTTTCTGTAGAATCAAAGAAATGAATTGGTGTCATTTGTTAAGTGAAACGCTTACAGATAGCATTTATATGCACCAGAATGGGAAACAAACATGGTATTCATCTATTGTGTTATTGTTAAACAGCTGAATGTAGATATTAATAATCTCAATGTCAATAAGATTAAAGAGGTATATGCAATTTTGGAAAGATAATCTTTTACCGAATGCTATAGTGGAGAAGGGTAAATTACGAACCTATTTTAAGTTTAAGGATGTTTTCAAATGTTGTAAAAAAAATTGAAACTAGAAAGTACCTCATGCACACAAATGAGAATTAGGGCTCATGAAGGTGGTTATAGAAAGATTGACCGTGGCAACGATCAAAGAATTTGTAAATTTTGTTCTTTAAATTCAATTGAAGATAAAATTCATTTTCTAATGGAATGTCCAGCATTCGAACAAAAACGACAAGTAATGTTGAATTCTGCTTTAGAAATATGTAATAATTTCAAAAATCTAACGAAATACAGAAAAAAAATTCATTTGCCTTCTTTCTTGTGAACATAAAGAAATATACAACACTGTGGCTTTAACTTGCTATAAATGTTTTACAATAAGAAAACAACTGCTAAAGTTAAGTCCATATTCTTCTTCTTCTTTATATACAGAAAAACATCAACTGGTTGATGATTACTTTCTGGCGCATGCCTGGTTTAAGATGTATTGTTTTAATAATTACAAATTTACAATACATTGATTATGCATGTAGGTATTGGTAAGTTTCAAGGAGAATTTCTGTGGTGAGTTTCCCCTTGAAGCACTCAGTATAATAGTGTTACATATTAACATAAGCATTATCTTTATTGTTTCTTTATTTTTTTACTTATATAAAAATAAGAAGATGTGGTATGATTGCCAATGAGACAACTCTCCACAAGAGACCAAATGACAAAGAAATTAACAACTATAGGTCACTTATGTCTGTAGTTAAAATCATTATATGTAACATGCCCTTTATGGGCCGATAATTGGTTTATTAAAGTATTCGTATTCATTCGTGCAGAGCTTCGATTCCTTGTCGGGGTGTAGCTATACTTTTGGTCCATTTCGATTGCATGTATCAGCTGTTCGACGTTTTTATTAAGGATTTTTTTTCAACATTAGCCAAGAGCATCGATGTCACTGAAGCGACATCAGTTGTCGAAATGAGCATTTGGTGCAGTTCAATTTGTACCGTTAATTTTATTGTATGTATCAACGTACAATTCTGAAGTTAAGGACAAACTTCTATTTTTGTTGTTAACTTTGTTTGGGCCAACATAACAATGGTCAATGAAAATATAATATCAACTGACATAATCAAAATGTTTATGTATGCATCACATTTCCCTTTCAAGTATGCTGCGTTCTGTGGTTCAGGATTGTTATTTCGGGCTTTTTAAAGCAACTAGTCTTGAGAAGATCATATAAGAAGTCTGCCTCATCAGACAGGATAAAGCTGCTACTATTAATAGTAGTAGTAGTAATAAAAGTATAGTCTTAGGATAAAGGAAAAGGTTAGCAAAAAAATAAACATAGTTATTTTCTTCGGAAAATGTCTTTATACCAACTTGTCCAAGTCAGGAATATGGCAATTGTTTTTCCCTTACTCCGTTGATTAATAGCGTTTGATTTTGTCAGTTTTACGGAATTTCCCTCTTTTTGAATTTGCCGTGGAGTTCGGTACTTTTGTTATACTTTTCCCCAATAGGAATGTCACTTTGTCTGTTGAACATAATGTACACCAAACGTAACAAATATTTTGTCAATAACGCAATCAAGCATCTTGATGACGTCAGTTCCAGAAAAAATGGTGTTTGAATCAGAGTGAACCAGTGGAAAATCAAGCATGAAGAAGAAAAGAATTAACTCTTGAAAACAAGACAATAATAATTCAAATATCATATATAAGTTAACCTCAGGCGCTTTTTTTATATTTTTATTTTATTTTTTTTTTATTAAATTTTCTTTTAATATTTTAACTTATTTCACTTATTAATATGTTCTTGCCCTTATCCACACGATCTTACAATAACAGTTGTTTATCAGTATCATGATGCCCCACCCCTCTATGCTTCATTTTTCAAGAGTTGCATCATATGTTAACTGTATTGCAAAAAGTAATCTTATGATAGACCCTGACAGGTTAAAAATGCAAACAATGTACAATGTACATGTGCATAAGAAACATACAACACATGAATAAAGTTCTAAACGAGTCAAGTTAATAATTATATAAATATATCATGGATAATTGACTAGTGTGGACCTCATTTTGCAACTCCAAGGATTGCTTTATATAGCCCACAACAATAGACAATATATTTTTTTTCAGTGTGATCTAAAATAGTTTTAAGTTTGAGTCAAACTAGTATAAACCAGAGACATATAATACAATTGTATTGTATGTCTCTGTATAAACTACTGTATTGTAATATCGCACAGTGTGGATAAGAGCGACAAAATTTCACAAGGTAGAATAAAAATATTAACCCAAAAAAAAAAAAATAATATTTAGAAATTCACCCAAGCACTTGTGAAGTTAACAATAATCTTTTGAAAAATGTACCATAGTGATTTCGAGATAACTTTAAATAAGCATAGTTACAACCGTATACAAACTGTAGATTTTGTTACCTTTATAAAAAGAAGAGTTAATTTTCTACCAGTTCTGAAACAGACAGAATCGAGTTAAGGGCTGTTCCGACATCGTTTTGGTTTATTTTTTTTCTGGTTCCTTCGTGAGTTCCATTTTGCTAGCACAGCGAGGGCATAATTTCTCTGTACCAGAGTGTTTACAATTTCGTGACTTCCGTGTTTATTTTCGTTGTAGGAAAGCACTCCTTTTTGAAGCTATATTTAAAACTGACAAGCAAGCATATATAAAAAGGAGGTGTTTGAGAAAAACATAGACAATACTTGCTCATTTATTGCAACTAATTCAAATTCCAAGCTAACACTGCAAGGTAATATACAGATATACGGTAAGTAGCTATAGCTGACCAAAATTATATACATGCGCTACTTCTTCAGTTCTATACATTTAATTCTACGTCTATGCTGTTAAAAAAATGGCTGGTATTAATCTATTTATTATAATTGCACCGTATAAGTAATTTTTAAAATACTGATTTTTGCAAAATTAAGACTACAGTATTGATTAACACAGATTTGTCCAATAGGCCTAAGATATAAAAAAAATAATTAGCCTTTTTATCTTATGGGTGTGGGTGACATGCTACCGTAATCAGGGTGTTTATTTAACAAATGATTTTAAAGCAATTAAATTTTACAATTCACTTATACACTACATTGACTACACTTCAAATGACTTAATCATGTTAATAATGCATTTTTTCAAACTTTGGATTTATTCAAACACTGGGAAAACAACCTGGTTATTAAAAAATGTGCATTTGTTCAAACTTTGGATTTATTCAGACAAAGCTGGGAATACAACCTGTTATTTAAAAAATGCATTTTTTCAAACTTTGGATTTATTCAAATAAAGCTGGGAAAACAACCTGGTATCAAAAAGAAAATGAAATTCCAATTTTTTTGTTTTTATAACACATTGTGGGAAGATACGCGTGCAGGGACATGAAGTCATTAATTTATGGCGTCCTCGATTTTAGAAAACTTACTGTTTTCAAATACATAATATATATCAAAGCTTGCTTCAGAACACAAATTTCTTTCATAAGAATAAGGACAGATTTAAAAATTTGAAAATCATATTTTTTGCTCTCCTTCAATACAATATATTTTGTTGATCTCAAATGACATAATTTATGACTTGTTCAGACTTTGAGAAAGGAAGAACAGATTTAGAATATACGGACATAATGACTATGTGCTTGTTTAATTTATCAAAGAACCTTCTCGTCTTACTACAGAAATACATTATACACATCTGTATCATGTGTATGACATAAATCCTCATATAAAGTGGAAATATCTATCATTTAGTTGGTAGATTCTTAAATGATGGTACATTAACATGATAAATTGGTCTTCTTAACCATAAAATTTCACGGCAAAATCAGCACACTAGTATGTCAATGAATTAAAGATTGAGTGTGTGTTATTTAACCTAATTTTAGTAACCCTTTTTATGTTAAAAGAATATTTTCAACAGTTGTGCATGTTCCTGTAAAAAAAAATTGACAAAAACTACAAATTTCTGATGGCAACTGGTACCAGACCCGTACAGAACTTTTGGAGAAGAGGAAGAAATTATCAAACAGATTTGTTTTATCCTGTGAAAATGACTCTCAATGATTATCTGTATAAATTGTATATATTTTGCAATAATACTATGAAACTACAATATTTCTTTACTAAAAAGATCATATTGCCCAAGTTGACACTTTCTATAAGTATCATGAGTTATTGCCCTCCACATGTTAACCCTGGATTTCCTGCCTGGCATAGCACTGCAGTTTACACAGAACTTTAGTGAATCCAATAAGCCTACTAGCATGACTAGTACATTTAACCTGCATTACCAAAGGCAGAAGCAGATCTGAAGCTGCATGTAGCATGGCTAGTAGATGCTGGACTCCGTCTGTCCATCTGTCCAAAAAAAATTCTTGGATTCAATGAAAGGGAATGATTTAATATTTGGTTTACAGCTTGATAATGTGGAGTTGTATCAAGTTAGCAATTTTAACATCTGTGGTGTAGCTACTTCCTGTTTGCAGATAGTTTGAAATTTTACAACACTCATTGCAAATGAAAAATTTAGATCAAAGTTTTCTTGGCTTCTATGAAAGGGAATGATTTAATATTTGGTCTGCAGCTTGGTTGATTTGTAGTGTGTAAGCAGTTTTTACATCTTTTGTGTAGCCACTTCCTGTTTGCTGATAGTTTGAAATTTTACGACACTCATTGTCCATGTTGTCATGATTGTACAAGTAAAACTTTTGTCAAACTTTTCTTGGCTCCTTTTAAAGTGAAGGATTTTAAAATTTGGTCTGGGAATGATCAGTTATGCTCCGGTATACATGTTACCTCAATCGATTGCATGCAGCAACGCAGGTCCAACCCAGTAATAGTCTTAATAAAATTGAGAATGGAAATGGGGAATGTGTCAAAGAGACAACAACCCGACCATAGAGCAGATAACAGTCGAAGGCCACCAATGGGTCTTCAATGCAGCGAGAAACTCCCGCACCCGGAGGCGTCCTTCAGCTGGCCCCTAACCAAATATGTATACTAGTTCAGTGATAATGGACGTCATACTAAACTCCAAATTATACACAAGAAACTAAAATTAAAAATGATACAAGACTAACAAAGGCCAGAGGCTCCTGACTTGGGACAGGCGCAAAAATGCGGCGGGGTTAAACATGTTTGTACATGTTACTAGTAGACTAAATTGCGTAAAAAGGTGGAAGGGTCACATTCAAGTACTACTATTTGAATTTTGGTTTTATTATTTTTGAAAAAAGATAAAATATTTATCCTGATTAAATCAGGAAAACTTTATTTAGTTTATGAGTATAGCAATTCTAACATCAAATTATTCATGTTTATTGTACAATAACTAAAAACCTCAGGTGTGTGACATTCATGACATTAGCAGATAGCACTACATATACATTGTATGTGCTTAAAATGTCATTCTAATTCGTTTGAGGTATTCCTCATTCCTAAATTCTATAAATAAGTTTATATAATGAAGGATTTCAAAGGTTTATCCAAAGTCTCTCAATGACTCCTGGGGAAAATCCCCTGTAAATCTGGAAAGTTGGCAGGTCTATATTATGCTGTATTATGTCTATTGTTTTTTCTCCCCATTAAAGCATAATCATTTTCTTTAATCATTGTAATGATAAGAATAGAAAATAGTATTAAGTTTTGATGATTATTTCTTTAAATTTACTTTTTAAATTACAAACGACAGTGAACCAACGCCTGATAAATCTTCACTATGATCATGATGATAGAATCTTTTTAAATGTTTAATAATGTAACACTAACAAAACAATGGATGCTAATGATACGTTTGTGACAAGGAACCAGTTTTACTACCAAGGCAAGGGAAATATCATATATAAATTTGACAGTCAAACTCAGACATTAAAAAGTTCTAGGAATTTGTTATAAATTCTAATTCATTCATTTTCAGGAATAATATTAATGTACACTATAAACTTAAATTTTAGTTCATATGAGATGAAGTTCAAGACTGTAAGAGAAGGACAACAAGCTGTTGTTTATAACCATTTAGGTCAAGGAAGACTTCTTGAAGGACCATTAAGGGTAGGTATGCTTACTTCAACTAGAATGTCTGCAATAGAGGTGTGAGTAGCTACAACCAATTTAATCTGCATACACCCAAACCTAATGATTATTAATGTGTATTAACCCCAACACTTTCCACAGAATATACATAAAGGTCAAGGGTCAGATACATGTTCATGTAGATCATTAATAGTTAATGCAAATATCAAATGGTTACATCTGTGATACATGTACCATTTTAATTTTCTATGAATAGACCTGGATCATCACAGGGCATTACCAGAGATATATTTTAAACGTTAAGGATGTTTGCTTATCTTGTTTTTGACTTTTTGTCAGATATTGGAATCTTCTGGTTTTATCCATGTGGTGCCATTAAAAATGTTGCTCGCTAACCCTTAGTTTTCTTTTCCTAATATTATTACATATAGTTTAAAAGCAATTTTTGAAAATCTTATCTGTTATTTTTAAACAGAGTAGCCAACATCCTTAAAATAAATAGTGCTATTTAGAAGTTGAGTTGATGAAAAAAGTTGACACACATATATGGATATATACTTATACAGTTATACTAGTAATATTTTACTCACCTGCAACATGTCACAAAGTCATAGAAGAGAGATTGAGGCATGTTTTGATGGCAATCATGGCGTCATCAATTGTTTATGTTTGTGATTAGGTCAGTTTAAGGAGGATCACTTCTGATAAATAAAAGATTAATTGATTGATTGATTGATTGGTGTTTAACGCCACTTTCAACACTATAATGCTATTTCGTGGTGGTCAGTTTTTATTAGTGGAGGAAGCCAGAGTGCCCGAGGAGAACCACCAACTTTCGTTAGAACTGACAATCCTAGTCATTTAAGATTGGAGTCGAACGCACCTTCTACATGCTGGATTCAAACTCACAACCTCAGTGTTGACTGGCTAGTGATACAGTAGACTACTTAGACCACTCGGCCACCGAGGCCCCTGATAAATAAAAGACAATTGGTATGCATTTGTCATGTTTGTATTGGGATTAGCTACATATATATATCCCATTTTTGTGAAGATTATTATTGTATGTATAATTTTTATGCCCCCGCCGTAGCGGAGGGGGCATTAAGTTTTACCCTTGTCCGTCTGTACGTACGTACGTCCCAAAATTGGTTTCCGTTCTCTAACTTTAGTTTGCCCCAACCAAATGTTATGAAACTTATACACAATGCTTATTACCACAAAACACAGATCAAATTTGAACTTTAGTGGCATCACTTTTACCGTTCTAGAGTTATGCCCTTTACAAATGGAAAAATTGCTGAATTTTTCGTTTCGGTTCTCTAACTTTAGTTTGCCTCAACCAAATGTTATGAAACTTATACACAATGCTTATTACCACAAACATGACAAAACACAGATCAAGTTTGAATTTTGGTGGCATCACTTTTACCGTTCTAGAGTTATGCCCCTTTAGAAATGGAAAAATTGCAAAATTTTTATTTTCTTCTAAATATCAAGTAATTTTTAAAATTGGAGTTATCTTCCTTTGTCCATGATTATAGTTGAATCAACTACAATCAATGCTTTATACAATGCAATGTTTAATTTTGACTTCCACTGATAAAACACAGATCAAGTTGAATTTGGGTAGTGTCACTTTAACCATTATTGAGTTATGCCCCTTTATAAATCGAAAGATTGCAAAATTTTTAGTTTCCATTTTGTAACTTAAGTATGCCCCATCCAAACATTATGAAACCTATACACAATATTCATTACCACAAAACTAAGATCAATTACAAATTTTTTGTTTCCGTTTTCATACTTTAGTTTGCCTCAACCAAATGTTATGAAACTAAAACACAATGCTTATTACAACATAATACAGATTAAGTACGAAATTTGGTGGCAACACTTTTACCATTCTTGAGTTATGTCCCTTAATGAACATAAAAATTGCTGAATTTTTCGTTTCTGTTCTCTAACTTTAGTTTGTCTCAGCCAAATGTTATAAAACTTGTACACAACCGTTCTAGAGTTATGCGTGTTTACAAATAGAAAAATTGCTGAATTTTTTCTCTACTTAAGTTAGCCTCAACCAAATGTTATGAGACTTGCACACAATATGAAATTTTTTTTTTTTCAGATTTTTCTTTATCGGGAAAGGTTGACTTACCTTAAGCTGTTTACGGCAGATTTGTATGACTATCTTACTGTCAAAGACATAGACGGAAATGTTACAAACAAAAGAGGGTATGTCATTGACTGTTAAATGTGTGCACCCACAGTTTTGTGGATTAGATTATTTTATACATTCTAAATCTGGTAATTTTTAGATTGGAAATAAATGGTATGGGGCATTGTCATGCATTATTTAACATATCTTATGTGTTTCAAAGCTTATATGCTACAAAAGGCCTATATGTGCTATTGCCATCAATATTCAAACATCACTTGTTGTAAGCCATCCATGGTAGTGTCTTCTTTTTAACTCTGTTAATCATAGTAGGTATTCTTCTCTGAAACCAATGTGCCAATTAAAAACAAAACTTTAAAATATTTATTCATAGGGTATCTACATGTACGCCTATTGTAAATTATATATAAATTCTGTGACATTGGATTTTAATCATTTATGAATCTGTTTCCAGACCATGTCAGATGTTTTGTAATCCTCTTGTGGTAGAAAGTATACATGTAAATCAGGCTATAAAGATTGATGCCAATCACATGATTGTTGTTTACAAACGTCTAAAAGACTCAGATGTCCAGAGGAGAGTAATTCAAGGTCCTTCTGTGTTTGTACCAGAAGCAGAGGAATGGTAAGCTTATTGTATCAATGTCAACTGAATATAAAAGGAAGATGATACTTCACTGATATTGTTCCAGATTGCACATGAGATGTTTCCTGCTACCGCTCTATATGTATATGACATCACCGCTGTTGTGTCATTACCTGCTTTCGAGTTCCAATATAAGTATCATTGCAATCAGACGTCTTTCTTACTTAGCCTTAACTTGTGTCCTGTACAACCACTCTACGATATTGGTGTCATATCTACAATAGATATCAACAATACAGATCAATTCGTTGATATGTTAAAAACCTTTGAAGAAACTGTAGATACGCTCTGGTCATTATTTCTTACAATGAATTAAAATATATTGTGATATATGTCTGAGAAATGGCTTTGAAGAGATGTAGAAAAGCTGTAATAACACCCTTTAGTTATTACAGGCATATATTTTCTGTAATAACATAGGTGTACTATACATGATTGGCAAATTATAAACTGTTATATCTTTCTAAAGTTTAGTATACATAAAGACAATTATAATACCAATAGAACTTGTATACAATTTAACAAAGAAAAGGTCATGATGTATATTGCCTCTTTGAAACTTGTAACATACATATGTCATCACAGTTTTTTTAAATTTTAGCTCACAATAATGACATGTATGTTATTTTTCTCTAATAACTTATTTAAGTTAGACCCTTGACTGGATATTATACATTCTAACAACAGCTGCTAGATAAGACATTGTACAATATATGCATACAAAAAATGAACGTAAATGGTTTAATTTTCATTGTTTAAATTTTCAATTTCCAGTGCCAAACTATTTGTAACTTATAGTCTCGCCTGCCACGAAAGTCACGGAAATCGAGACATAGGGATTGCTTTTCCAGCGACGGCGGTTGCGTCAACAATTGTTAAGTTTTCTGCTTAAGTTAGTCTGATAAGAACTTCTAGTGATAGATCATTGGTATTTGATATAAAGTTGCATTACTATCAGTACATATCATTTTGCATGGTTTGACAACTATTTCGAGGCCCAGCCCTCTAGGTCATGGTCCAGCAACTTTGAATTAACTAGCAATTTTCAATGTTAAGTTTTCTGCTTAAGTTAGTTTGATAGGAACTACTTGTGATAGATCATTGATATTTAATATAAAGTTGCATTACTATGTCTATATTGATTAAGGGCTATTTTGAGGCCCTGCTCCCTGTCATGGTCCAGTGACTTTGAATTAATAAGCAATTTTCAATGTTAAGTTTTCTGTTTGAGTTAGTTTGATAGGATCTACTTGTGATAGATCAATGTTATTTTGTATGAAGTTGCATTACTATCAGTACATAGCTGTTTGACAACTATTTTGAGACCCTACCCCTAGGTCATGGTCCAGTGACTTTGAATTAATTAGCAATTTTCAATGTTAAGTTTTCTGCTCAAGTCAGTTTGATAAGAATTACTTGTGACAGATCAATGATATTTTGTATAAAGTTGCATTATGATCAGTACATCTCAGTTTGTCGACCATTTTATAGGCCCTGCCCACAAGATCATTGTCCAGCGACTATGAATTAATAAGCAATGTTGCTGTTCATCAGATTGTCTTTTTCTGAATTTTATGCGGACAGGCGAGACCTATCTCTGTGTCAACAGTTTATTTTAAAGAACAAGTTTGTATTCATTTTGGCAAACTTTTAAAAATCATGATAGTGTAATATTATGTATAATTGTATTGTGACAATATGTTTTTGTAGGTTACACCAATTTAGTTGGCATGGATGTGATGCTAAAGACAAAACCAGGATGATTCCAGGATTTCATAAATTTCAACAATTAGCAGTTATACCAGATCAGTTCTACTATAATGTAGGTGTAATTTATACTTGATATATTGTATACTGAAAAGTTATTACACTAAGACTAGGAACATTTATAACATGAGTTATATATATTTTTGATTGTGTGTGAAATTAGTATTCTACATGTAGTAGTCCATTAATTGTATGAAAAAAATTAAAAGCTGACCCCTTTTGTAGACAACAAAAAACAATACAAATGCATGTCAAACAATACTCTAACAAACAATACCTATAGTTACTGAGAGTTCACAGAAAGTATCCTTCAGATATAGAAACTATGCTTTCCTTCACTTTATAATTGCTTGCTGTATTTCAAAGTCAATTCAAACGACAACATCACAAACAGGGTAGGAAATTTCACAATCTTGTGCAATGCCTAAATTAAATTGTACAGAATTTCACTATTGAAAAATAAGAAAACATTTCAGTCTTGTTTCAAACTATAAGTAAGAAAAGATATTTGATACGGTAAATTTTGAAATTTCTTCTTGTGTATTTATTATTGTGATTGTTGAGCAATAGATTAAAATTAGAGATTTATCATTATGCTTTCATGAAATGCTACATACAAATTATGCTATCATAGTCTGAAATGCACAGTAATTTGATCTATTGGTGAGACTTGTCTGGTTTCAACATGTTCAATTTTCACAAAAATAAAAAGCATCACTCAAAAATTTTTGAATTTACAATAATCCCCAAAATAAACGATACATTCATGACATTATGACTGAACAACAACTATATAATTAAAAAACCTCTGTAATAAATCTGTCAAACCAAAAAGAAAGATTTGATGGACATACTGATTTGTCTATTAAACAATGTGTCTGTCAATTTTCACATTTGTTCTTCCATCTCAATCTGTACTGGTGTGTATTGCAATAATTACTAAATATAGCTTGCTGTTCAGTGTGAGCCAAGGCTCTGTGTTAAAGACCGTACTTTGACCTATAATGGTTTACTTTTATAAATTTTGACTTGGATTGAGAGTTGTCTCATTGGCACTCATACCACATCTTCTAGATCTTATATCTATTAAGAGACAATACAATGTACCCTGATTACAGAATATAAATCTCATATTCAACTGAAATGGTAGCTAAAAATAAGTATGGCAGAGTTGTTTGTTGATGTATATATACATATATGGTTAGGAAGCTCTCAGATTGTGTTGCTGAGACTTGATTGATAACTTGTAAAGTGATTGTTTTTGATTGACAGGTGAAAGAAGTACGAACGCTTGATGACACTATGATAACAGTCAAACTTATGATATTCTATGAGCTTAAAGATGTGTTAAAAATGGTATGTTTCTATTGATACATTCAGTTCCATTGTTTATAATAATAAATGGATATTTCAAAGGTCCAATGAAAAGAAAAAAACAATGTAGAATTTTCACCAAGCCACAGTGAACACTATGTGAAAATCAAAGTTTCATTTTCCGTGTTGTCCTTTTAGCACCAAGGTAATGTGATGCTATATCAAACGATTTTCTGTATACCACTATCAGTGTGTTTGATTGATATTTTTAAATTAGCCAGCATCAGGAAGACTCAAGAGAGCAAAATATACATACTGAACTAAAATATGAAGAAGTATATAAAAATAAACTGATATACAATTTTTTTTAAGATTTTTTATTATACCCCCGCTTTAAAAAAGTGGGGGTATACTGTTTTACCTCTGTCTGTCCTTCCGTCAGTCCGTCCGTCCGTCCCATGAATATTTTCGTCGCATTTTTCTCAGGAACCACTTGACAAGGATTTCTGAAATTTGGTTTCAGGGTTTATATAAGTAAGTAACACCATGTGATGCGTTTTCAGATTCATCACTCAACAACTTCCTGTTCACCGAACACTTGTATTATTTTACACATGATAGCCAAGTTGAAAATTTTCGTCACATTTTTCTCAGGAACTACTTGACAAGGATTTCTGAAATTTGGTTTCAGGGTTTATATAAGTCAGCTATACCGTGTGATGCGTTTTCAGATTCATAACTCAACAACTTCCTGTTTACCGAAATATTTCGGCGGGGGTATCATTAGTGAGCAGTAGCTCACAGTTTTACTTGTTTTTTTAATTATTGGTTGTTGGTGTTTAATGATACATTCTGCACTCTTGGCTGTCTTATGCAGACAGTTTTCACTGGGAAAGGAAGCCAGAATACCCAGAGAGAACCATGACCTTTGGCAGGAAAACAGGCAATCCTAGTTTATTAATTAATATTGGAGTCAAACGAACCTTGCCACTAGGCGGGTTAAATCTCACAACCTCAGTGTTGGCAGGCTAGTGGTCAATGTAGAAGAACTACTTATACCACTAGATCACTGAACCCACTTTTATTTAAGAAGATGTTAATACGAAATTAGCCCAATTCTGTTAATTAATTTACTAGATACTATAGTCATGATAGTAGTACAATAAATTTGGTGTGAATTGTTGGTTTTTCATAAGAAAATCCATAAACCAAAATACAAATATATCTGAATTATAGCGTGGTCTTTGCTTATTTGTAAAAGAGAATATTGGATTTAGAATAGGATCCACTGTCATGGTAGTCCTAGACAGGAAAAGGTCATGATTTTACCTGGCTTGGATAAACAAATTAATTATCACAGGGACTTTTGTCATATCCCTTATCAGAGTAAATGAACTTTCTCAGAATCCCTGACAAAAAATGCCATTGTGCACTTCCTTTTTATTTTTTTAATATGAAATAGTTTTAGGGTTACCCTAAGCAAATTATGGACTTTGCCTGTGTTTTATCTAGAGAGTATTCCTGCTAAACCCTTTGTTAGAATTTATCAGACTTCTTAATGTTGGTTTTTGATGCTGCTTTGCTTTGATGTATGTTTTTGATGCTCCGCTTTAATGTTTGATTTTGATGCTACTCTGCCAAGTGATTAAATAATTATATATGAATAACACTGAACATATGTCTTTTTCCAGCTGGATACTACACAGGATCCGATTGCTGATATGATTAAGTAAGTTACAAGGGCTGAACTAAGCATTTATTTATTCTAGTAGTAATGTTCTGGTATTAAATATCCTGGTTCAATCTTATGACACAACTTATCATATATCTTTTCTATATTACCCTTTTCAATTGATTGTTTATTGTTTTGCAACTAAAAACCCTAAAATATATAATTGGTTGATATGTATACCACTCCATTAAAAAGATACATTGTAGAATCAGCTGCAACATTCACCAGTTTTAAAATTTTAAGGCCAGAGTTTGTGGTGAATTTTTTCTGGATTTAGTTTATTGGTTGGTTGCTGCCTCGTAAATGTCTATCCTTTATCACCTTTTAATCAAATCAAAATCAAATTGAATATTAAAACGTATTTTTGTAGAGCCTGTGTCTTCTGTTGCAGAAAGCAAGACATAGGGAAAGTGATCCGGCAGCAACGGCAGGATTAACTAACTTCTTAAAAGCTTAATACTTCAGAAGGAAGAAGACCTTGATGCTTCATACTTTGTATATAGATGCCTTATGTTATGATGTTTCCGTCTGTCATATGTCCACTGTCCTTGACCTCATTTTCATGGTTCAGTGACTACTTGAAAAAAAAGTTAAGATTTTTTGTAATGTTAAATTCTCTCTTATTATGAGTAAGAGGATAACTATATATGGTAAGTGCATACCTTGCAAGGTCCTCATGTCTGTCAGACAGTTTTCACTTGATCTCAACCTCATTTCATGGATCAGTGAACAAGGTTAAGTTTTCGTGATCAAGTCAATATCTCAGATACAATAAGCAATAGGTCTACTATATTTGGTCTATGGAATGATTGTAATGTGTAAATGTGCAACTGGCAGGTGTCATCTGACCTTGATTTCATTTTCATGGTTCAGTGGTTAAGTTAAGTTTTTGTGTTTTGGTCTGTTCCTGTCTCGCCTTGACGGAGTCAAAAAGCGAGACATAGGTATGTTGTTTCCGGTGTCGGCGGCGGCAGCAACAATGTATTAGTTTGTGATTAGGTCTAGTTCATGCTGAACCACTAGTAGTAGGTCAATGATATTTGGTATGCAGTTGTATTAGCATTGGCACATCTCATTACCATGGAGATTATTTGGCCCCGCCCCCTCAGTCAAGGTCTATTGACTTTGAAACTTTTCATAGTTTACATGTATTAGTTTGTGATTAGGTCAATTTATGGGGAACCACTAGTGGTAGGTCAATGATATTTGGTATGCAGTTGTATAAGCATTGGCATATCTCATTTCCATGGAGATTATTTGGCTCCGCCCCCTTAGTCATGGTCTATAGACTTTGAAAATTTTGCTAAGTTAAAATGTATTAGTTTGTGATTAGGTCAGTTCAAGGGGAACCATTAGTGGTAGGCCAATGTTAATTGGTGTTCAGTTGTATAAGCATTAGCACATCTCATTTCCATGGAGAATATTTGGCCCTGCCCCCTCAGTCATGGTCTATTTACTTTGAAACTTTTGCATAGTTTACATGTATTAGTTTGTGATTAGATCAGTTTAAGATGAACTGCTAATGTTAAGTCAATGATATTTGGTATGCAAATTTGTTGGCATTTGTAAGTATCGTTTCCATGGAGATTATATAGCTCACCCCTGATCATGGTTCATTGACTCTGAAACTTTTACATAGATTACAAGTTAATGTTTGTGTTTAGGTTTGTTTAAAGGGAACGACTTATAATAAGTCAATGGTATTTGGTATGCAGTTGTTTTAGCATTGGCACATCTCATTCAATGGAGATTGTTTAGCCATTCGACTTTGAATATTTGCATAACTTACATGTTAAAGTATTGCTATTTTAATTTCAACATTTGCATTATCAAAATTACAAAAAGGCGAGACATATCTCTGTGATAACAGTCTATTCTAATACTCTATGTGTATGCAATAGGTCAACTATATTTGATGTATGGAAATATTTGGTAATGTACATGTCAATCTGGCAGGTTTTATTTGACCTTGATCTCATTTTCACAGTTCATTGCTCAATGTTAGGTTTTTGTGTTTTGGTCTTTTTTTTCATAAACTTTAAACAATAGGTCAACTATTTTTATACGACCGCGAAAAAATCATATATTGGTATGACGTTGGCTTTGTTGTCGTCGTCGTCCGAAGACACATTGGTTTTTGCACTCTAACTTTAGTTTAAGTGAATGGATCTCTATGAAATTTTACCATAAGGTTCAATACCACAAAAGGAAGGTTGGGATTGATTTTGGGGGTTATGGTACCAACAGTTAGTGAATTAGGGGCCAAAAAGGGGCCAAAAATAAGCATTTGTAACTTCCAGACATAACTTGTGTGTTAGTGTATGTATCTCTCCGACATTGTACCACAAGGTTTCATATCACAAAGGGAATGCTAGGTATGATTTTGGGGGTAAATGCCTCAAAATTTTAGGAATTAGGGGCCAAAAAAGGGGCAAAAAACAAGCATTTTTCTAGTTTCATGACCATAACTTGTGTGTAAGTGTATGGATCTTTCTGAAATTGTACTACAAGGTTCCATATCACAAAGGGAAAGCTGGAATTGAGTTTGGGGGTAATTGCCCAAAGGTTTAGGAAAAAGGGGCCAAAAATAAGCATTTTTCTAGTTTCCAGACAATAACTTGTGTTCAAGGGTATGGATCTCTCTGAAATTGTACTGCAAGGTACCATACCACAAAGGGAAGGCTGGGATTGATTTTGGGGGTAATTGCCTCAAAATTTTAGGAATTAGGGGCCAAAAAGGGGCAAAAAACAAGCATTTTTCTAGTTTCAGGACAATTACTTGTGTTTAAGTGTATGGATCTTTATGAAATTGTACTACAAGGTTCCATATCACAAAGGGAAAGCTGGAATTGAGTTTGGGGGTAATTGCTCAAAAGGTTTAGGAAAAAGGGGCCAAAAATAAGCATTTTTCTAGTTTCCAGACAATAACTTGTGTTCAAGGGTATGGATCTCTCTGAAATTGTACTGCAAGGTACCATACCACAAAGGGAAGGCTGGGATTGATTTTGGGGGTAATTGCCTCAAAATTTTAGGAATTAGGGGCCAAAAAAGTGCAAAAAACAAGCATTTTTCTAGTTTCAGGACAATAACTTGTGTGTAAGTGTATGGATCTTTATGAAATTGTACTACAAGGTTCCATATCACAAAGGGAAAGCTGGAATTGAGTTTGGGGGTAATTGCCTTAAACGTTTAGGAATTTGGGGCCAAAAAGGGGCCTAAAAACATGTTTTTTTCTAGTTTCCAGACAATAACTTGTGTTCAAGTGTATGGATCTCTCTGAAATTGTACTGCAAGGTACCATACCACAAAGGGAAGGCTGGGATTGAGTTTGGGGGTAATGAATCATAAGGGGGTTCAAAAAATTTGGGGGAGGAATTTTTTTTCCCTTTTTTTCCTTTTTTTTTCTTTAAAATTTTCCATTTTAAATTGGTTATTTCTGATTAATATATAAAAGCAAATAATAATGATAATTTTTAAGTTCTTATACCACATTCATTCTGTGTCAGAAACCTATGCTGTGTCAAATATTAAATCACAATCCGAATTCAGTGCTGTATCAAGCTTGAATGTTGTGTCCATACTTGCCCCAACTGTTCAGGGTTCGACCTCTGGGGTCGTATCAAGCTGCACCCAGCAGAGCATTTTATTGGTGTATGGAATGATTGTAAGATGTACATGTGTGTTTGGAAGGGTTCTTCTGACCTTGACCTCATTTTTTTATGGCGCATTGGTCAATATAAAGTTTTCATGGTTTGGTCTGTTTCTTGTATACATAAGCAATATGTTAACTTTATTAGGTGTATGGTATGATAGTAAGGTGTACATGTATTTCTGGCTTGCATTGGTTTATCTGACCTTTACCTCATTTTCTTTGATCATGATAAGTTTAAGTGATACTTGTACAAGTTGTAGTAAACTTTATATTTAGGACTATCAACGTAAAATCAATTGTCAGTAAAGCAGGCGAGACATTTCAGCGTGTGCACACTTGTTTAAGAAATATACTTCAAATTTATTTAAGGAATGACTGTAATATTTTTTCTGTCTATGAAGAAATAACCTCAAAAATGTGGTGCACACTGAATTACTCGTGTAGCGGGTTATTTAAAAGTGTGCACCACATTTTTTGAGGTTATTTCGAATAGACAGAAAAAATATAACAGCCATTCCTTATAATTTAATTCTTAATTCCATTTTTAAGGAGTAAATCATGAAAAATCATTGATGAAATCACGGTCACATGACAAAATTATGTCTATGAGCTGATAGATAAAAAACTTTCAGCCAATCAGAAGACGTGTTATATCCAAAATTAAATTATTAGAATATAATATTGATAGCTGAATTAATATTTTATTGGTTGAGACTACCAAATTTGACATTAAGCAAAACCTATTATTCCCCTGTATGTAAATATTGATAGCTAAATCAACTATCACACATTACATCGAGCAAAACTTCATATTCCCCTCTAAGATCAGAAATATCTCATTCTACTTTATGCCCTCAGTGGTGTCCTCATGAAATATGAACTTTCTAGAGTGAACAAATCTTCAAATCTCCCTACGTCAAGGGAAATAAATATATAGTATTCCCCTCTGAACATTGTTTGTACCCTATTATGTGGATTTTTTAAAGAGTTATAAAACTTTTTATACAGCAAAATCATTGTTGGCTTCCTGTTTAAGCTCATTTCATGTGTAAAATCAAAACAAGCAAAAAAAATTATGTCATAAATATGAAATTAATTATTAATGTACTTTTATTTATGCAATGTCATTATAAACTCAGAAGATTATGGGAAATTGAATGTACCTTATGAATAATCTATTTTCAAGAGTCTAAGAAAGTATAAGCATCAAGTAGTGGAAAAAAAAATCATTTGCCTTGTAAGATTTGTTCATAGAAAAAAGTCATATTTCTATTGGGCATTGCGCTTGAAAAATATGACTTTTCCATGCTGAACAAATCTTCATATCCCCTTAAAGCACGGTAAATACATGTATAATGTGTTCTGGGTGTTGAAAACAATACAATACCAATACCACAACACACCACACCGCACCAATATCAATACCAATACTAATACCATATCAATACCATACCAATACTAATACCAATACCAATACCAATACCAATACCAATAGTTATATTATATAAGATGTGCATTATTTCAAAACACTCTGTCACATACAAGTGAAACAAGAGGTAAACATATATATGAAATATAGTCACATTGATTATTAGTTTTTATCTATGCATAATGTACAAATATATATATATATATGAATGTACATGTATATATGTAAATAGTTTTTTATACGTATACATATGTAATATGCTGACTGCAAGTCATTATGATAACAGATATTAACAATTACAAATTTTGATTAATAAAAACTATCTTCAGAAAATTTTAATTAAGACTAGATAGATATCTTGAATATCATGAATATATCTGTGTATTATAAGTCACAAAAATAATGATAAGTTAATGTACTTTTTCAGTGCTGTGTGCTCAGATGTCATTGCCTTTTCGGGAAGAATTACGTAAGTTTAATTTTTGTTTTAATGATTTACTAAATTTTAGTCCTACAGTCAGACCTGTCATAAGTAGTCACTTATGGGAAGTATCAAAAGTGACTGCCCAAGAGAGATGACCTTTTAAAGGAGGATTCAAAAAAATTTTGATGCTGACATCACCCATGGGCGGGCTAGCAGCAAATTGTTTTAGTTTTTATTGCAATTGGTAGAGTTATCATTCTTGTGAGCAGTAAAAAAAAATATGGCAGATTCCTGTGTTGTAAATGCGAAGGAAGCTTTCATAATATGTTAATATTTGTGGAGAAATAAGTTGGTGATATGGTTTGAATAAAACTGAAAGGAGTGAAACACGAGAAAATTCACAAATTTGCTTCATTTTGTGCGATCTCGGTTACAAACGGTTTCAGATTCTCATTTTGACTTCGATACTGAACACAAATATATTTAGTCATGATTATATTCGAAGTTTAAAACTTTAAAAATGACCTTTGTTAAAAGTTGAAATGACGATTCGTTTGAAAATTAGGTGACCACTGACAGATTAAGACAGGTGACTGCTGAAAAGAGTTAAATTATGTAGAGAAAACATTTGGGAGGGTCTGAAAGTGACTGGAATATTTTAGATTTGGTCCCACATTTTTCCAGCACTACTGAACACAATGACCTCAGATATGGTCAGTAGCTTGGAAGTAATGAGTTATAAGGTGTGATCACTGTTTGGATCTTCCAGACACCTATATCTGAATTTCCTGTTTTCTGATTTACAAGTGGCCTTTTAGTTGGAGTATACTTATCATGACAATGTATGCATTCTTGTTTTCGTAACTTTAAAGACAGAAATGATCACAAAATGCAACATGATAATGCAAAAATATATTAGTTTAATTTTTTTATTAAAATGGTGGAGTGCATAAAATAAATATTAATTTGAAAAAAAAGTAATGTAGTAATCCAAAGAAAAATCTCCAGTATTATTAAATTCTTCCTCCAGAGCATCCGTTAGTCAATGTGAGGCTAATTTTAAAAGAAGAAGGCAAAGATGCATTGTTATCTTAATTCTTACTTAATTACTTGTGTAATTGCCAGAAAAATAGATGGCCAAAATCATGGAAAAGAAGATTATTTAGTCGTCAACCACTTCCTTAAAACACTGCATTTGACAGCAAAACATAGTAAAAATTCATATATAATACATGTATTACAAACACTTAAAGAGTTTTAATTTGTCTACATGCTAATACATTAGATACATAATAGTTGTTTCATAAGATGCCATTTGTTCAGGTTTCATTAAAAAGTGCTACTTCTATATTTTTTAGATTTGAAGACTTTTTAAAACAGACACATAGATTATCTGAATTGAAGAGCTACTCACAATTACTGCAGAGAGCTGACAGAATCGGTTACACTATACAGAAAGTTGTGTTTAGAGGATACCATGCCAGTGAACAGTTACAGGTAACTTATTGAAAATAATACCTGAAACCTTTCTTACTATCAAAATAATAAGATTGCCAATGAGACAACTCTCCACTAAAGACCAAATGATGAAGAAGTTAACTATAGGTCACTGTACAGGCTTCAACAATGAGCAAAGCCTATACCACATAGGAAGCTATAAAAGGCCCTGAAATGACAAATGCATAACAATTCATACAAGAAAACAAATGGCCGGATTTATGTACAAAACAATCAATCAAAAACAAATATGATATACAGCAAACTACTCTAGTACTGAAGATTTTGTTCAGTTTATACAGGTTGGGTAACAAAAACAATATGATTTGTACCAGATTTCAGGTCTGTTACCTTTCCAGTTTGCAAGGTTTTGGTTTAGACAGGTTTACTGCTAGAATCAGCCTTATGTTAGCACTGCAAAAAAAAAAGAAGATTTGCTCAGATTGAGTTGGTTGAATAACTTCTATGGGAAAATCTACACAAAAAAAAATGTCTTTGTCATTTACTGTCTTTTTGTTTCCTTTACAAAATGTTGGACTGGTTACAACATATATCTAAAAAAAAAGCAGCAGAGCTCTTGGGATTATATTGGTGTCTCGGGTTGATACGGATGTGATATTGAAAAACCCATATCATATACACTTTATTATATACCTCAAGTAGATGTTTTTATGTGACATGACGTTGTACAGATTAGGGGTTTGATAAAGCCTTTGCAACAGTGACTGATATCGATGACGTGACGTCATACAGATTAAAGGTGTGATAAAGCCTTTGCAACCGTGACTGATATCGATATCATCACGGATGGCTGATACAGCACGATTGCCGTTGACCGTATTACACATACAATTTATCTGTATTTACTACTAAGTATATAATAAAGTCATTTATTTCTTTAACAATATATTTCATGAATGAGTAAAGATACCTATGCAATTGAGTTATTGAATATTTTTTTCAAATTGTAAGAATTGGTCTTCTAACTTGTTTCTGTAATAACAGCATATGCTTATTCTAGCTTGCTGGGTGATTCTAAACAGATATATCAGATCCCACATTGTTTGACCTTTTAAGATCATATCCATGTTGAGAAAACATTTTAGTATTTTTAAATAAAGGATTATGCCTTGAAAAGGTTTTTTCCTAATTATGATGATATATACTTAAATTATATGTTGTTTTATAAAAATTATGTGTCTTGATTTTATCTATGAACAATTTGGTGTAAATCACCCTTATGGTCACAGGTGTTGAAAAGTAAATGTCGTTATACTTTCAGGCCATGCAAAGCAGTGCAATTGAGTCTAGAACACAGTTGAGATTAAATGTAGAAATAGAAGAACAAAAACAAAGACTTGCTGATCTTAAGATTACAAAAGAACAAGAGAGAGCTAAATTAGGTAAATTCTTGGTTGTATTTGTGTTTTGATTTCATTCTAGATAAGGCAAAATTCCTTGTATTGATTGGTTGGAAAGAAATATTTTAACATTAGGAAGAAACTTGTAAAACAAAAAAGGGATCTTTGAGAAAGACCATCATTAGATACAAACGTTTGAGTGATATTACTTTGTACGGTGTAGTTTAAGAGAAGAAATTGCCGAGAGTTAAATGATTATACTTTTGGAAATATGATTTTTACTAACAGGATTGAGAAACCGACTCATTTTATGTCTGCTGGTGCAATGCTCTGTAAAACCACAGAAAACACCTCAGTAACTGTTTTCTGAAATTAATTTCATCAGGAATGCAAATAGGCAATTTTGGAATGCCAAAGAAATATTGGGATAAGAATATTCAATATTCGTCCAAAATTTTACAAAATTTAAATTTACCAGCCTTCTATTCATTTTGGCCTGGCTGGAGGTGCAAACATGACTGGCATAAAATATCAAGTTGTCACACAATAGAGGAATCTTGTACTGTTTATTAAATGTTGAAAGTATCAAAATCATATGTTGGCTTTAATAATATGTATTTGTCGAAAGTTTGTGCATAAGTAAATGCACACTCTTTAATACTATATGTTCCTTAATTCTACTTTTAAACATTTTCTTTCAGTTCAGGAAATGGATAAAGAGAAACAGGATCATAAACAAAAGATGTCTGTTCTGAAGCAGACGCATGATTTGGAGATAAGGAATTTAGAGCAACAACAGGGGCTACAAGTTCGATCACTCATGACCAAAGCAAAATTAGGTATAATAGACATACAATGATACTGTTTTAAAGTTTGAATGCAAAAGTACAAGACAATACTGTAAATTCAGAATTTTATTATTTATTATTGCGATTTTTGAAGACTGAACAGAACTATGAGATTAATGATTGCGATTTCAGGAAAAGTTTCATGTAGATATATGTATCAGATATCAGAAGGCAGGTTCTTATTGTAGTGATGCTGGCCCTTTTGCAGTATTCACATTTATTAAAATCTTGTGATATTTCTGAATTTACAGCATTTGAAAATATTTCTGAAGCACAAATGTTTTGCCCCTAGATATCTTAGGAAAAAAGTGTAGCTTGCCTGTTTAATCTGCATTAATTTTAACACTGTTGTTGTGAGTCCATTGACCATGACAAACAGTACCTTATATGCAAATGAACAAGTTTTATTGGAAAAAAATTTATGTTGACAAGATCAGCATATTTGTTAATGATCATTTTATTTTTTAAATCTTGCTCAATTAAGATCCCAATTGAGTAATATCTTCTGGATCTTTAGATAAAACTTGGAAATAGATGTGGCGTTCTTTCTTTGTCTCACTACTATGCATGACAATATACTGTGGGTTCGTTATTATTAGTGGGATACTGATTTTCATGGGTATAGGTGAATCTCGAATTTCAATGTTGAGCGAAGTACAGATTTTCTAAAAACCAAGAAATCAAATATCCACCAAAATAAAACTTCCTCAATCTTCAAAAAGTTTGTACCCACGAAAATAAATGAATCCACAGTAGATGATAGAGGGAATAAAATGCATACACTTTCACAAACTATTATTTTATTTCTGGCATGTGCTTTCATAATGACAGGTATTTAAATATTAGATGTTGATTTTTAATATTTTTCAAATATGTTCTGTACAGTGTATTTTTTTGTTGTTTAGATCTTAGAAATGCTGAAGATACCTACAGTGCAGAGTACTTAAAGTCTTTGAAAGACGTGGATATTGATGTGACAGCTTATCTTGTATCTCAGATGTCACCTCCCGCTGATGAAGAAATACAAATGGTGAAGAAAACAGTCAGTACAACTTTTTAAATTTCTTTTATTTTCGAAAAAAGTTAATAAACCATTGATGTATACAATATTCTCCATTTTTGCAAGTTCATACACTGGAATGAATTTAAATTTGAATTGTCTTTTACATAGGTATGTGATTACTTACTCCTATTTAAACTTTTTACAGGAATGTTGCAAAACTCAGTTGAGTGAAAGATCTTCAGCAAATGGATTTTTAATATAAATATTAATATTTGGTTTGGATAATATTAACAGATGAACTTTTCATTATTGAACAGTTAACTCTAAAGGGCACGATAAATGTTATAAACTTTCATTTATTGTCTTAAGATAATACAATGGAGGATTTTTTGAGGTTTTAAATTAAAATGAACAAATATTACTCACTGGCATTTTCATAGCAATGAAAATTTCTAACATGGGATTAACCAGGAGTTATTTTTTTTATATTTATTATTTATTTTTCTATAAAGTTATATAAACCTTTATGTTGTACATCATTGACTTAATTTATTGTCTGTACACTACACAAATTTACATTATTGTATCATTCTTTGTTATTTTTTAGTACTCAGTACTTTTATGAACCAAATTTATAAAAAACATGAACAGTTGTTATTGTCAATAGTTAATAGTATGTAGCTGTGAATTATGTGATATATATATAAATATATACATGTAGTAACCATAATCATTAGTCCCCTACCGACGAAGGCGAAGGGGACTTTAGGTTTGCACTCCGTCTGTCTGTCCATCCGTCCATCCGTCAGTCAGGCAAATCAGTTTTCCACACTTTTTTTCTTCATGATTGAAGATATTGATTTGATATTTGATGTATTGTTTTATCATGACAAGTTACTGATCAAGTTCGAATTTTGTTCCGGTCTGATGATTTTGTGCAGAGTTATGGTCCTTTGACTTAGAAAATTCACTCAAATAATCAGTTTTCCGCACTTTTTTTCGTCATGCTTGAAGATATTGATTTGAAAATTGGTATATAGTTTTATCATGACAAGTTACAGATCAAGATCGAATTTTGTATTGGTCTGATGATTTTGTGCAGAGTTATGGTCCTTGGACTTAGAAAATTCAATTAAATAATCAGTTTTCAACAGCTTGAAGATATGGACTTGATATTTGTTATATAGTTTACATCATGACAAGTTATAGATCAAGTTAGAATTTTGTTCCAATACAATGAATTTTTAACCGGTAGGGGACTATGTATTGCCATGCAATACTCACAGAATGCTTGTTTTATTGTCTATTGACAATTTTTTATGCAAAGTGCAAAGTTACAAAAGCCAACTGACAATGAACCATACATTGATTTGAGGGATACAAATACTTTGAGATAATTGAATTTTTTTTTTTTTAATTTTAACACTCACTAGGCTTGCTGGGTTCAGTGTAGATTTGTCATAAGTATCATATTTAATTCAGTCATCATTTTAATCATTTTATTTTCTATGGACTATTTTATGGTACAAAGTTACATACATGTATGATCATATATTTTTTTTTTAAATAGATTTATAGACCTTTTCCTTTGTTTTGTACATAGTACTTTGATAAAATAAGTTTCTTTAATTATACTTCAGTAATATAGACCCAAATTCCAATGTCCTTTGCTTTTGATTTATAAAAAAAATATTTTTTCAAGATGTGCATGCGCAATGTTCAAAAAATTTTAGATTCAGATAAAAGTAATGAAGTCTGAAGTCATAATTGTATATCAATCCATGATGAGTAAATAACTGTTATTTAAGTTTTCAAAGGGTACAAACATGCAATAATTAGACAAATTACAGTACATTGTATTATAATAAAACTACTTTGGTTCACAATTTTAATTCATTGACGATAATTGAGGGTTTGGATGGGGTTTACAGAATAGAGAATAATGAACAAAATGTGCAGAATAAAGAGATGAAAATATAAAGAATAGAGAAAAATATAGCCAAAAAGTAAAGAATAGGTGCTAAATTATAAGGAATGGAGAATAACAGGCAGAATTTATAAAGAATAGAGAAAAATGGCCTAAAAAATTAAAGAATACAGAAATGAAGGACCACCATCCACACCCTCATAATTGTATGGAACTTGATTCCTCAAATTGAAATTCATATTTTCAAAATTGAAGTTAATATTTGGAAAATGTGGTTGTTATGTTTGAATTAATAAGTTTTAGCAAGCCAAAGAATTTTAATGTTTTTAAAACAATTTCCTTTTATCATGTCTAAATATTTAAAATGTGCAGTGGCAAAACTGTGAAGTTTATTTAACAATGTGAATTCCAATACATTTAAGTGGCAGAGAAAAATAAAACATAGGATAAGCTGGAAAACAGTCCTTCTTTAATATCTAACTTTGGTGATTATATTTTAATCTGAGATAAATGATTCAGTAGTTACATGAATTGGCTTTATATTAACATCTTTCTATGTCAAATTGAAATTTCATTTAAAAAAGCATTTGTATTAAGACAACCAACCAATAATAATTGGTCTTTCCAAAAGTTTGAATAGAAGCATATTGTGAAGATCATTTTGTTTAAAATGACAGTTTATTATAACCTACCGCATTGTTATGTTGAAATGACAATGTCATAATGACATTTTTAAAGCTGGTATTTGAATTATTGAAAAGACTCTTATCAAGGTAAAAAGATTTAAAAAGGCTGCTTAATAATTCAGTTTTTATCAACAGTCTCCTTACAAATCGTGATTTCTTTGTTCAAGCAATGGTTGTCAAGTACATGAACACTTGTTGTCTGAATCTACATGTAGCCTTGTTCTTAACATAGTCAATTTAATTAAAAACGTGTTGAATACTTGTTTCAAATGAGAACTTCTATTTTTAGGTCCTTTTTTCATATAGCTCTTCGTCTGTTTCGGTTTTTATTCATCCTTGGATCATAAATATTCTGCTTTGAGCATTTCTAATGATGGTAAATCCAGAAAATCTTGTGAAATTTATAAATTGTTGTTTTCATTATTTAAAGACTTAAATTATTTTTGTAATTTTATCATATTTTTTTAATGGTTATATATTTTTTCTGATGTAATTTTATTGCTTTATTATTGATTAAAAACTATTAATCTATTCCTTTAATAATATATCTACCTCATTATTACATGTGTAATTAAATAATCTTTGATACAAATTATTAAATTAATTTAGAGAATTTTTTCTTTTTGATTAAACTAGGAGCCAGTTTGAAGATTATTGTTTAGGAAGTGTACATTTAAGCTTTTCTTCACAAATTGGATGTTGGTTGACCATATTTAAGTGGTATTCTTTGTTTGTAGCCACATGTCTGTGAGCATGCTGCACTGTATCTCGCATCCATTGATCATCAAGTTCCTCTTTAACTAATACATTTATTTTCCTGTACATAATGAACATGTATGAAATTTGTGAGAAAAAAATTACTGCTTAGTGAATACTTATTATAGGGTATCATAAGTGAGCAAATAGCTCACAGTTCACCTTTTTTTTTGGCAAAGAAATAAGCTTATGATTAATGTTTTTCTTTTTGTCAGTAATTTTTGAATGGGCTACCCAGTGAAATAGTATAACATATGTCACTTTATGTTTTTTTTTTATTTTTTAAGTAATCAGAAATCCTCATATTTATTTTATACACATTTTGAATCAAAATGATTTACATTTGACATTAAAAAAAAATAATCATATAGAAGTATTATTTTCTGTAGAATAGCTTATATTGTACATTCTTGAGATTTATGTTTAGTTATTTTAAGTCATTGTTTAAGTATTTTTTTTACACAACTTGTTTTCTTTTTTCAAATCTACAAAAAATTATAATGGATAATGTATTGTTAATTTATCAGGTTGAAATCAGCTTTAAAATATTAATTTTTATTTATGATATTAGGAATAAATGTATATTATCTGTTAAATAAACATGTTCTTCAATCATTTTAACATTTTATTTAAATAGCATGAACAACAAATACATAACCTATAAAAACTGATATATATTTAGGAACAAAAAATACCTAAAATATATCTCTAAATAACAGGCTGCTGACAGAAACTAGGAGTGAAGTCAGTTATATATATACCTTAGTGACCTTACACAAATCTAGTTCATCATTCGATAACTATAATGTAAACTAAGTCTTTTGCCTACACTGGATATGATAATGTATCTGTTACATTAAATACCTCACAGATGTGTCAAATGGAAAGTTGCATATCAGATGGACATGACTATTGCTTGGCTTTAGTTATACTTTTTATTGTTTAATTTATAAGCTCTTCAATTTTCCAGTTTGGATTTTCAAATAATTTGGCTTTGAGCATCCCTGAAGTGACATTTATTGTTGAAATGCCCATCTGGTGCAGTAAAATTGGTACTGTTTATTTTTATTAAAAAATCCAGCAATGTCAAATGAATTTCCCTCTGCAAATTTTCACTCTAAAATTGACCACAAAATGGACATGGTTTCATTACTTGTTTATTTTATTTTCCTTTATGGTGATATTTATTATTGAAAGTATATTTCTCAGTTTTTATACGACCACAAAAAATTTTGCGGTCGTATATTGGTATCACATCGTCGTCGTCCGAATATCAATTATAATGTAATCAGTTCGAAAATACAGCAGATGGTGGACTGAACTTCAAACGGAAGAAGAACTCTTTAAAATATATATCAAATCAACGTTTTTCAACACAGATTTTGCGGTTTACCGATCAGATTAAAGTTGTGGTTTGAGGTAGTTTACCAAGAAGTTGTAGCCACATCAACCCCCGAAATTTAGTACAAACTTCATTATGATGTGCACTTTTTAAAATGTATGCCAAATTAGGGTTTGGCACCAGATTTGAATGGTTCATTGAACATGGAAATATGATAGTGCCAGTAGGGCATGATGGCCTTATGGACAATCACATTCTTGTTATTTTTATTTGTATATAAGTGATTTGTATTTTTCACCTAATATATAAATTACACTATATTGTCGAAAGTGATTAAGAGACACAGCATTAAACTGAAGTCGAAATTCTTATTAAAACATACAATGACTGCTTAATACAGTTACAGATAAATATCTACACGATATATAGTTCCCTTTGGAATGCGCGCTTTGTGTCTGTTGAAATATCCTTCCTCCAAAAGTTAGATACCTTCTCAATACAAAACAATAATTTAATCCTACATTCAAACAAAGATAAAAGTCATGCATGTGTTAATGATCTCCTTCCGCAGGTCGCATGCTTCTCGAATAATTTTCATCAATGGTACTTTGCGCTTGTATAAAACCCCTTAGAAAGCTAAATATATCAATTGTTTGAGAACCACGATACCAAAAAAACCGAAACTGTATATGAGCAAGTAATAAAGTAATTAATAGCAGATTGGTTCTACAGGAAATGAATCATACAAAGGCAGACGTCTTATTTTATTAAATGTCAAAGAGCTGATGATGGTATGTATTATGAAAATGTTTACACATAAATGCAAGTAAACAAATATATATTTTGGAAAATCTTTTAATAGGCTGAACAGGGGCGGATCCAGAACCTCGATGTTTGGGGGGGCACCATGAAACCAAAATTAAAGATTTGTTTAGATATGTATATATGCGAAAGTGTAGGTGGTGGTGGTGTCACGTACTTGGGGATGATGGTGGTCGTGTGTGGTGTGGAAAGGTGCGGGGGGGGGGGGGGGGGGGGGGGGGGGGGTCGGGTCGGGCCTTCGTTTCTATATCTTTTCATTATTTTTAAGCAATTATAAGCAACCGTACGGCCTTCAACAATGAGAAAAACCAATACCGGAAGGTCGGCTATAAAAGGCCCCGACATGAAAATATGAAACAATTCAATTGAGAAAACCAAAGGTCTTATTCATCACAAAATAATTTTCGAAAAACAAATATGACAGACATGAAACAACGACAACCACTGAACTAAACAGGCTCCTGAATTGGGACAGGCACATAAAGAATGTGGCGGGGTTAAACATGTTTGTGAGCGTTCAACCCTCCCCCTAAGCTGGGACAGTATTGTAACAGTATTACATAAAAATAAACTATAAAAATCAGTTGAAAAAGGCTTAACTCATCAGATAGTTCATCACACCTTTATTCTGTTTTCTATATTTTTTGGACCCATTGTTTTTTCTAGTCTTTACTTTTTGACCATTATTCTCTAATCTCTAAATCCCATTCATACCCTCATTCACGGTAAACCATTCATACCTTCATTCACGGTAAACCATTCATACCCTCATTCACGGTAAACCATTCATACCTTCATTCACGGTAAACCATTCATACCCTCATTCACGGTAAACCATTCATACCTTCATTCACGGTAAACCATTCATACCTTCATTCACGGTAAACCATTCATACCCTCATTCACGGTAAACCATTCATACCTTCATTCACGGTAAACCATTCATACCCTCATTCACGGTAACCTATTCATACCCTCATACATGCCTGGTAATTGAAACAAGAAAAAATATACACATATTACTGTACTATACGTAGGTTTTCTAAAAATACAATATCATGTTATTAATGATTATATATAAGGCACAGACCTTTCATGTTTTGTGGAGGGGAAGGATTTTTTTTAAAGACAAATCGTTGGTTTCCATAAAAAAAAATAAGGGGAAAAGAAACACGACATTTAGTTTAAAAAAAAATGCTGTGTGCATTGAAAAAAATCGTTTGTTGTTTAATAAAGTCCGAAAAAGACTGTCCTGAGAAAGACACATTCCCCAGAAACCGTATACAATGTGAGTGTTTGGTAATAAAGACGTATTCCTATTGATACTAACATTCTTGACACTAAATATCTATTTTTACATATTCTTTTAAGAACGATTTTAGTTGGTAATTTCTTTCCTGATCAGAAATTTTCACTTGTTAATCGATCTTGATCCTGTAATATTGTATTAAAAACCAATAAATATATTCGTAATAATTTCAATCAGCATGTACATGTACATGTAGTTTACATAAATGCTTTTGGATATAGACATTACACAAAGGTGTCAATATTTACACACCCTTTGATAAGTTGTCATAAATCACGCATGTTGAAGCTGGGGTTAATTAACGACCAGTTAAGGAAGTCAAATCAAGCTGTTCCTTGATTTTCGATCTAGATATCTTGATAAGCAGATACAGTAACAATAAAACTATGTTAGAAAAAATTTTGGTGACCCCGACTGGGGTTGGGGGGGGGGCACGTGCCCCCTGTGCCCCCCGGTAAATCCGCCACTGCTGAAATTTCAGTATGTATATTGCAGTAAAAAGATAAATTGAAATGTATCTCTACTAGTAAATCTAGTAATGTGAATAAGATGTTGATTGTTCAAATTGTTCCTCAAAATATACTTAAATATAAAAAGGTTAGACTTTTCTACACTGAAAACTATTACTCTAGATCTGTAAGATTGATTAACACATAATTCAGATCGTATCCTGATCAGTCTACATTTAGAATATAGCAAAGTACTCTTGACCAATGAAATTGTAGAATTGGATGCCTCTTAATTGTGAAGAATGAATGTAAATCATGTTCTTAGAAAGGGATTATCCTATTATTTGGGTCTATTTACAGTTCAAAACAAAGAGTTTCTATAAATGAGTTACAACTGCCCCGAAGCACATTTATCAGATTGAAAGGTTTTATCACAAAGTGATTGAAACTGACTAAAAGTTGAATTGTGAAACAAACAAAAATCTCAAAATAAGTTGAAGTTTACTGGTGCAGTAAAATTGGTACCGTGAATTTTATTATGAAAATATTAATAACTTCAAATTACTATAAAATGAAACATTACCAAAGCAATGCAAAAAAAAAGAAAAAAAATCTTTCAGATAAAAAAATAACCTAAATCTTTAGCTTTCCAAAACTTTGATTACTTGATCAGAGGTTGGGGAGAATAGTTATTTCCAATACAATTATTCCGATAAAAACAGGAATTAAATTTTAAACATATTAAAAACTTTTAAGGGCATTATTTTTGAGCATTTCCCTGACATAATGAAACAGTATTTGATGTAAAAAGCCGGACCAAATTATTGGCTGTGAAATAAAATTTAGTTGTAACTCTAATGTATTAATTGATTTAAACTGTAAATAAAACAGGATAATTCCTCACTAAAATATTACATGATTTACATTCATACTCACAATCAGGAAACATACAATTCATACCTTTTCTTTCTACTGTGTGTCACCTAATATCTATAACGCATTTTTAAAAAAAATATTTCCCAAATTATAAGAAAGTCCTCACATCACTAAAACTTATCCATAAATGACATGCCGAAAAAGGAAGTCATGCATCAATTATAAACATTGCACTGACAATGAAACTAATTCTTGAATAGATCATTTGAGCCTTGAGCACTTTGCAATATTCTAAGTTTGTAAGAGAATGATAATCCCTTACTTCATGATAAGTACTCGCTAACGCTCGTACTTATTCATGAAGAAAGGGATTATCATTCTCTTACATATACAAAGGTGATAAAAATATTGTTGACTCTTATAACAGATATAAATAGTAAATAATGTTCAAATACTGAGTATTTTATGAGTCAATCTATTTGATGAGTGTGTCAAATCAATAAAAAATTGGTATGCCAATGTGTACACATTGTTCGGTCCTTACGTTTATTGGTGAACCCTTTAATAGCTTATTTGCGCAAATTTTTAAAAAAATGCATTATTTTATTTTCGCCAAAACTAAATACTGCTTTTGCGCCAATTTACAGTTAAAAAAAGAGGAAATACATCTGTATTTTTTAAGACCTCACTTTTAGGATAATATCCAATGTATTGAAATCATGACGGGGAAAATCGTACAGATATACCCCAAAAAGTTGCAAAGCCAGAATTACAACAGATGTGGACAGCAAAACCATTATAAAAACAATGAATGATA